GACTCATATGTATTTGTTCATTTTCCTCGAAACCAAATTTCTTCCACTCCTTGAGGCTGTAATGATGTCATTGCATGATTAATTACTAAATGGTGCCTGTTAAAGAGCATTCTGAATCATCCACAAGTCTGGTGGTTTTGTATCGGCTGTTTATAAATGCTAAAACTAACATATCAAATGAAACATTTTTTAATTGAGAATCCTAAATTTAATGATTCTCAGTTAAACTATGTAATAAAATAGTGCATATTTGTGAGCAAACGTTTTGTATCATATTTGATACAGTTGTATTTGAGGTCTCAAAGCATCAGAAATCTGCAGAATTTCTGCTCAGAATTTTGTAAAAAAAAATAAATAAATAATAAATAAATCTGCAGATTTTTATAAGAAGTGATTTTGAGAGTATAGTAACTGAAAACTTAACATTAAATAAAAAATAAAATACATAAAAATAGGAAAATTATCTTTTTAAACTTGCAATTTCTATAACTTTTTTTTTACTTTTAACTTAGATCTTCTTGTTTGGTAAACAAAGTAAGTGTCATATTTTATATCTTCTAAAAGAAAGTTTATATTCCTTTACAAATTGCATAAACTTTTGTATATTAGTCAATAATATTACTGAAGTAAATATAAAACTATAAACAGTTGAAGTCAGAATTATTCACCCCCCTGCTTATTTTTTCCCAATTTTTGTTTAACGGAGAGAACATTTCAACACATTTCTAAACGTAACAGTTTTAATAACTCATCTCTAATAACTGATTTATTTTATCTTTGCCATGATGACAGTAAATAATATTTGACTAGATATTTTTCAAGACACTTCTATACAGCGTAAAGTAACATTTAAAGGCTTAACTAGGTTAATTAGGATAATTAGGCAAGTTATTGTATAACCATGGTTTGTTCTGCAGACGGTTGAAACAATATAGCTTAAAGGGGCTAATAATTTTGACCTTAAAAGAATTTTTCAAAAAATTAAAAACTGCTGTTATTCTAGCCAAAAAAAAAAAAGCAAATAAAACTTTCTCCAGAAGAAACAAAATTATCAGCCATACTGTGAAAATGTCCTTGCTCTGTTAAACATCATTTAGGAAATATTTAAAAAAAGAACAAAAAATAATAATAATAAAAAATTTTATATATATATATATATATATATATATATATGATTGTATAACACACACACATACAGTTGAAGTCAGAATTTTTAGCCCCCCTCTGAATTTCTTTTTCTTTTTAATTATAGAGCAAGGAAATTTTCACAGTATATCTGATTTTTTTTTTTCTTCTGTAGAAAGTCTTATTTGTTTTATTTCAGCTAGAATAAAAGCAGTTTTAAATATTTTAAACATTTAAGGTCAAAATTATTAACCCCTTTAAGCTTTATATTGTTTCAATAGTCTACAGAACAAACCATCATTATATAATAACTTGCCTAATTACCCTAAGCTGCCTAGCTAACCTAATTAACCTTGTTAAGTTTTTAAATGTCACTTTACTCTGTATAGAAGTTTCTTGAAAAATATCTAGTCAAATACTATTTACTGTCATCATGCAAATGATAAAATAAATCAGTCATTAGAAATGAGTTAATAAAACTGTTGTGTTTAGAAATGTGCTGAAAAAAATCGTCTCTCCATTAAACAGAAATTGGGGAACAAAATAAACAGGGGCTAATTTACATCAGTAAATAAATACTCAATGAGCTTTAAAAAAAATCTGGATTTCTGCCTGTATGCCACCATTTGGAAAAGTCAAGGTTTTAAAACCGTCAAAATCTTCTGCTATACCATTCCTACAGTATATGTAAGACTTTTTAAAGGAAAATAGTATCTCCAGCAGAAAAATATATCCAAAGTTGTTTTAAATTGTGATAAGTCTGTGTTTTTGAAACTAATAAAGACAGCAGAACTATTTAGCCTGACATGTTTACAAAATATTTGAAATGTTCCTCAAAATAAAATCTGTTGTGTTCAAAGGGGGAAAAAAAAAGTCTTTTTTTTTTTTTTTTTTACCAGATATTTAAAATACTTTAGAGAAGTAATCACTATATTAGGAAACTAATATTAGGATATTTTTATCCAAGGTTATCATACCATCAGAATCTTATACCGGCCCATGCCTACTCGTATAATATTATAATATTCATCAGATTTTGATGTTTTTTTGTTTTGTTTTTTTTTATTAAAAAGAAAAAAAAAAATCTGTTTCAACTCTACATGCTCATTGAGACCAAAAGATTTTTTCAGAAAAGTGTTATCTGTCGGTCTCTTTCAGGCAGTGAACATGACAAAGAAATATTTAAGTCCATCTAAAGCCGCTAAATACAGCCTGGAGCTGGAGGAGTTGGAATTTTGTGTACAACACCCTCAAACTGTTTTGAATGGCCAACTTTAAAGATGACTAAAGAAAATATGCGATAAGCTACATAAAATCATGCTACATGCAAATATTAAATATCACGACAGGTTATTTACAATTGATGTGTTGTAACGCACCCACTAAAGTGCTCTGAATTTTCCATTAGGGCTGTGAAAACCGCTATCTCGTGGTTCCAGTGGCTCTAGCTGGAGAGAGGAAATGGTTTAGATATGGAAGGATGCCCTCCAGTGTAAGTATGATGAAAGGGCCTGTTTACATTTTTGGCCCTTTTTGACATTTTTGATATTACTCAACTTCACTTCCAGCAATTGTTCGCTTTCATACTTTGATCTACAGCCAACGATGCAAGACAAATAACTTGGGTCAATTATTTGACACTTAAAAATAGTAATATAATAAGAAAAATAAATGTAGTGTAATGTAAAATTAACTTAAAACTATTTATGACAAACCGTCCTGAAAATTCTCTCACTATTATCCAATCAAAATAAAAATGCCAGCATGAGTTAAATACAGCAGGAATTCATTTATTTACCTGATTTTAAAATAAGATATATATCAATAAAGCAGTACGTGTACACAAATGCACATTCAAAGAATACAACATGCCACAGATAGTTTTATAAAAATTTAATTACATGTTTTGGTCTAGCCCCAGTCTACATCGTTTAAACTGAGTGGTTTTGGATGTACAATGATGACTGATTGTCTAGTATACGTATTCAAACCAAACAAATGTGAAAGCAAGATAAAAACAGCTTTTGAAAATGAATCCAGCCTAATAAAAGCTTTCTATGTTTCCCTTTATAAAGTGGTCAAGAGCTATAATTATTATCATCATTATTCATTCACAGTTTATAAACTATGCACTTGTTTAGCTTTTAAGACTATTTTGTAGTGTGTAACTTTAGTTTACATTTCTTTTTTACCATTTCTAAACGAGTACATCTTCAAAAACGCAATCGGATTGCTCTCATTTCTTAAGATATGTATGCTTATGTAATAAAAATTCCAGCATTTGTGAATGCATTCAGCAACCTTGCATCCTTACACAAAAAGAAATGCTACTTTTCAGTGAAAATAGGCAAGGTGAAGATAGAAAACATCTTCATTTAAGGCACTGTGCATAAGAATAATGTCAGGAATTATTGGTAATGTATGTGGTATTTGGCTTTTAAAATGTAACAGCTGTTATTCTGAGGGAACATTTACATGCCAACTGTGCAGCAAACATGTAAAAGTTTTTACTTCTATATGTGACCCTGGACCACAAAAGCAATTCAGTTTGTGAGAATTGCCAAAAATACATACAAGTTATAATTATCTGTTATATTTAGAGTATTAAAGTAAAGATCATCTTCCATGAAGACATCTAGCAAACTTCCCACCCTAATTATATCAATATGTAATATTTAATAAGAAATATGCATTGCTAAGAACTTCATTCAGACATCTTTAAAGCAGATTTTCTCAATAATTCGATTGTTTTGAACCCTCAGATTTCAGATTTTCAAATTGTTGTTACTCGTCCAATTATTGTCCTATTACAAACTATACATTAATGGTATGCTTATTTCTTATTTCAGCTTTTAGATGATCTCCAATAAACTATCCCTCATGAGCGGCAACACGGAGGCTCAATGGTTAGTACTGTGGCCTCACAGCAAAAAGGTCGCTGGTTCAAGTCCCAGCTGGGTCAGTTAGCATTTCTGTGTAGAGGGTGTTGGCGTGGGTTTCCTCTGGGTGCTCCGGTTTCCCCCACAGTCCAAAGACATGTGCTATAATATATTGAATAAACTAAATTGGCCGTAGTGAATATGTGTGCATGTAAGGTGTTTCCCAGTACTGGGTTGCAACAAGAAAGGCATCCGCTGTGTAAAACATATGCTGGATAAGTTGGCGGTTCATTCCACTGTGCTGACTAACCCCTGATGAATAAAGGATCTAAGCCCAAGGATAATGAATGATCCTCATGAATGTTTTGTGGTTCAAGGCCACATATAAACAAACCACAAAAATGACTATGCATGTAATATGCATGCCAGGCCAGTAGGTAGCGATGCCACTTTTTAAAGAAACACTACTCGCCTGTGCACTATAGCTGCGTCTCAAATGGCACACTATACACTTATGCACTGTACTTATGCACTTACACACTCAACAGCTTAGTATATGTATGTAGTGTTGTCCCAAATGAAACACTAATGTTTTTTTACTAAGCGGAAATTCAAACCATTTCCCTGATGACGTTTGACGGCTGCCAAATCAGTGAAATAAATGACCAAAATACCAAGTAATTCCTGCCATGAGTGTAACCACATTCACCAACGGGAGGTGCTATAACCACTCTCAGAGGAGAATTTTCACCATCCAAAATAAATAGTTATCAAACATGTGCGCCTGATACCTTTGTCCCTTCCGCCACGTGAGCAAAGCTGCGGTCGTTGAGTGTGTGAAGTGTCCATCATTACACACTTCACTTTACCAGCTGAATGAGTGCATCATCCGGGTAATTAAAGTGCACTTCTTATTTTTAGTTTTCAGTGTGAACGCACTACTTAGACTATGTATACTACAAAATGGCGTAGAATAGTGCATAAGTATGCTATTTGGGACGCAGCTATTGTCTTGCAGTCCAGCATTTTTGTTTTGGTTACTCAAAGCAAATTGTGAGTGATTCCACAATTGTCATAAAATCACTTCTTTTTTTCTTTTTCTTTTTTTACACAGAACAACAACGGCACTTTGAAACCCATTTTGTGTTTGCATTAAGGCAACAAAATGGCTTTGACTTGTTTGGCGTTGAACAATGATGTGTGTGTAAACACCCCCTTTGGTTTCAGTTTTCTATGAACTCCAGCTATTTCCTTTACATCGAGATTAAATTGGTTTCCAGTTACCTGAACAAGGTGAAGTGCCCCATAACAGATCTATAAAGTGGAAGATTTGCTGTTCAATATTATACAGCTTAAACCTTGGGAGACGTACTTGTAAGACTGTTTCCTGGGTTATTCTTTTATATTATCTCACCGTCCGTGGGAGACTTTCAGAATATGTAGTAATAAAATCCAATAAAAATACAAAACCGTCCTTTTCTCATAAAATAGATCCGAAAACGAGTAAACGCAATCGTAAACTTCATAAGGCTATAAAAGAGAGTTCCAAATTGTCCTCAAGAAGTAATTTTCTCTCCTTGTTGGTTGTTTTTTTTTTTTTAAATGCTTCAGTTCACTTGATCCATCCACTTCTTTTTGGTCCTCAAAATGCTTGCAATGTCCTCTTAAAGCCCGATTTCATCATCAAGCTCGTCCTCAAACGTGTATCCCTGTTCTCCATTGGCAGTCTCCTCCTCTGAATCAGAATCTGAAAGGTGTTGGTCTTCTCTCCTTCTGTCCAGCGGTGAGACTCCTTCATATTCTGAGCTCGCTGAGGAAGAAAGGCTCGGAGAGTTTTCCTCTCTTCGGTTAACCATCTCCTCTTGTCTCGGGTCTTTATCGAAAGCCGTCCTCCCACTTATCTCCTGCATCCCTTTATTTGGCCTCATTTCTTCTCCTTCAGCTTCAAGCCCCTCGATCACTTCCTGACGACCGATGATCTCATCGCGCTTGTCGCTGAAGCGCACTTTAGGCCTGAGCCCTTTGGATTTGATGCCGTTGACCTCATTCAGCTGCTCGTCTCTCAACTCTCTGCTCAAGCTTTCCATTCTCATCCTCTCGTTCAACTCATTACCAACATTTCTTGATGACATCATCGCATCTTTCGATCCACTCGTAAAAACCTCTTCGTTGCCTTTGCAAGAACCCATCGTCAGTCCGTCCATCACTCCCAGAACATCTCCCAAAATCGAAGGCCCTAAATCCAAATCGAGGTCAAATGAAGAAACTGAATCGGAATGTCGGAGCTCGCTTGGACTGCTATCTTCCACGTATTTCATTTCATCGTTATGGTTTGTCTCAATGTCTTGGTTCTCAGTCATGGAGGGGGTGGCCGTGACTGGTTGAGCGGTGTTGGGATCTGGACTTGAGGGCCCATGGCTGGACAGAAAGGAGGTGTCCCCAAAAGCGTCTCCACCACGACCGATGTGCATGGTGTGACGGAAATCACCCAGAGGAGCTGAGATCATGGTGGGGTCCAGACGAGGAGCTCGGGATGATTTGTGGAGAGGCATTGTTGCAACTGAGGAACAAAATCACAAAGTCAAACGGTGTAAGAAACATTTCCAATGCAATAATGTGTTTTATAATTAAACTACATCCAATCCAGTTACTGAATTAAATCACTAAGGGTGCTTCTGGAAAATAGTAAGAATGCTTGATGTGATATATTGGTCACGCTTTACGATAAGGTTCCATTGGTTATTTTTTCAAGTGGTGCTCGCTGCAGAGCCATTTGGGCGAGCTGAGCTTCAGCGAGGGGGAGCTTGAGCTTGAGCTCCACCTTGTTTGCACTTCTTCTACGAGTGATGTCACTGGGGGTAGGGTTAGGGGTGGGGTTGGTGTACGCATTAAAACAGCTTACAGGAGGCAGAACGAGAGCTCATGCTCCCCCTCGCTGGAGCTCAGCTCTGCTTAAATGGCTCTGCAGCGAGCACCCTCTCTATTTTTTAGCATCAGCTAAGACTTAGACAATACTTGTACAGCATTTATTAATGATAGTTAACTGTTAATTACAACATTAATCAAAATCCAAAACTGTGCTTGATGAAATGAGTTGCACTGTGAATCAACGAATGAGTTATTTTCAATAACTAATGTTAACAAAGATTAAAATATTGTCATGTATGTAATGTTTGTTGATGGTTAGATTACATTAAAGCAGGGGGTCTCGAACTGAAATGGCTATATAAGTGACTGACTTTTAACATTCAAGCACGAGAAAATAGTGGAAACCTGATGCACTCAGACATTCTTCCCCAGAGTAGATGCAGTCAAAGCTCCTGTTTCTTGTTGCATATATTGAAGAGGTAGTTTAAATAATAGGCATATTAATTATTATAATTATTCTGTCCCAATTAATTGTTGCTTAACCAAAAGTTTAACAGATAGCACAAGACAGCAGAAAGCAGATTTGGTAACTTTAGTGACTTTACTGGAAATTGCTCTTCTCAATATCTTTCTTTTTTGTAAAACTACGAGAAGGGGGGGGGACATTTTTAATTCAGCCAGCAGTAAAACCTTATTAATGAACATTCTTATACAAATCTTAATAAACATATAAGGAAAATCTATTAAATGAGACTATTTGAGTCTAATATTTATATTCATATTAAATATGATCATATTTACACCACCAGCATAACATGTAAGCGATGGAGATGTGTTTGTACAACAAAATACAAATGATATAAAATGTATTATAATCAAACGACCCATAAATATTTACAGAAAGAGCTTTAGTAAAATAGAGCACTTTCAGACATATATTTCAACATTTAAATCAGCCCCAGAAATAATCTGAATGCACTTTACTCTTGACTACATACACTGAGAGAAACTGAAAGTAACCCAGATATATAGCACATGTGCAGTAGGTGGGGGGTCAAAACCACAAGTGGCTATATGCGACTGCACAACAATGACTGATTCAAAAATATATGTTTTGGTGGGCCGAATCGCGTTATATTTTGATGTCAGTGGGGGGTCGGAATGAGGAAGAGGGAGGTCCGCAAATGACCCGTGGACCGGCAGTTTGCAATAAACTGCATTAAAGCAATGGTCTCGAACTCAATTCCCGCAGCTCTGCATAGTTTAGCTCAAACCACCTAGTCTCTGTTAGTCTTGAACACCTTGATTAGTTGGATTAGCTGTGTTTGATTAGGGTTGGAGCAAAACTGCAGAGCTGCAGCCCTCCAGGAAGCGAGACAGTTCACCCTTTAAACTTTTAAGCATTTTTATCTTCTGTTAAACACTAAATTAACATTTCTGAAGAAACTTGGAATCATTGATAACTATTGACTGAAATTATTGACATCCATAGTGTTTGTTTTTCCAACTATAGAGGTCAATGGTTACAGGTTTTCAGCTTTCTTCAAAATATATTCCACATTCAAAAGAAGAAAGAAACAACCTTAATATAATACTGTGCAGTAAGCACAATATTTCGTCCCATCTATCAAAGGCTATGACTGAACCTTGCATTTATACAAGGAGATCATGCCCAAATTTATATTGACTACTGTGTTGTGATTGTTGATCCTCTCAGCAGCATGATATACAAAACATATTCAAATTCTTAATGGGTTATTTATAGCCAACAAAGTACATCACCTTTATAATAACTAAAAAAACTATTACTCACTTTAGTTCATCTCATACTGTCCCTTTACAATCATTAAATCTCTCTCCAACGCACCTTGATTACACTAACTCAGTACTGAACAAAAACCTTTTGCAGCATACTGACCATTGAGTGTACTCTGTCAAATAAAATAACTTCTGACTGGCCATTTCATACACAAACATCCCTGGCTGCATGCTGTACCTTAATGCTAAAACAGCACGCCAATAGAAAGCATTGGTCCTTTCCAGATATACAAACACATTGGAGCATTAGCCAATTCTGCTTCACCAGTATACTATTGTTACAGCTTTTGCTTTCATTTTAAAGCCCTCAAACAGTACACCAACATTGAAGCTGCCCCAAATTACCTATATTTATCACACAATGCGCAATAAATATGGGTTAATTTCCATTGTGAAGTAGGCCTACTATTCCACATCGTTATTAATTCAGAATATATGAGATGATGTAAATTCATTTTAATACAGTTATACAAGGACAAAATTGTTAAATATGTTGTTGCCTATGTTTTCAATATAGTATCAGAAACGTTTTATAATATAAAATGTGCAAAACATGTTTCTAAATCTCTTTCCTCATCTTATTCAGTGGAACTCAGTGGGTGAGGTGAGATGAGACGAGATAAACGTCTCGTTGTCTTAGATCTGTATATTTTTATATTTCCAGGTATGAAATCATAGCAGGAGCTACGATTGCGTAAAGCGTGTTAAAAAGAGCAGTTGACAGACGGCGAAAGCCAAGCTCGGACTTGTTATGTGAAGCGCGTGCTAAATGCCTTCTTCCCTCCAGCATTCTCGCGAGGTCGAGACACAAATCTCAGACAACGACCGAACCCACCATAAGATATAAACTTAGTTTTAAAATATTTTATTTATTTAATATTTAAATAGCTACAATTATTTTTTTTAAAAACAGACTTACTGTAATACTTTGTAGAGCCTACGAACGTTTGTTTAGATTCATGTTAATAGCGAACTATAAAATATTCAATACTTTCGACAAAACACGTAAGAATAAACATGTTTCCACTTTTTAATGCTTGTTAATATCCTGTTTGGTCTCATATGAGAGGCTTATTTGTTCAAGAAAACCCCGTTTACGTGACCTATTCATAAACAACTGCAACAGCTGGAAAGAGGATCAGTTCAGGCATCTGTACCAGATCTGTTGACCACGGGTATGAAATCGACTATACTTAAGGTTTGCTCTGCTGAAAGATATTATTTAAAGAAACCTTTTAAATACATTGTATACGTATTTCCTCTAAACAAAACAGTGTGACTGCAGTCTTTAAACTCTTACCAGTGGTCTTAATTTTAAGCAGAAGACCTGCCTTTTCCCCCCAGGAACGTGTCCTCCTGTCCAGTAAAGCTGTAATAAAGCAAACATTATATTTTTGTGAATTAATTTATCAGCCAGCACAGTTTAAAGCAGTGAAGCTCTCTGGAGTGGGAGTTGCAGCCAAAAGTTACGCGCCCAACTGAGAGTCGAATTGATTTCGTATAAAACGGTTGAACTGAACTTACATTGATAACCGTGTGCTTGTCAATAGGTTTGTACCTGTTTGTTCCTCTTTTAAGCGATAGCTTCTTTAAATATCCTCGTTTTTCTTCTTTTACAGACTTTTCTGGCGTCGCTGTTCTCTCCGATATTTCTTTTTTTCCTTTAGGGATGGGCAAGGAAGTGACGTGACTTTTATGGGAGCGCTTTGCTCCCAGCTGAAAGTAGCGACTGACGCATGTCTGCCTTTCCTCTCTGCTTTCTTCCGTCAGAACAAAACTATTTCACACCAATTTTCCTTTTAATAATCGTCGACATTTTCTGTTATCATTATTATGTTGAGCTAGATTTAAATGTGGGCCTGTATTTAAAAATGGATGACGCAAGGTTTATTTTAAAGTGAGGAGAGGACTTCTAATATCAGAGAGTTATAGTTATTGTTATGGGCATTGTGTAGAACTGTTTGTACAGTGTGTTTGAGTTTATTGCTATGGATGAAACACAATGAAAACAGTTTGGAATCCAGTCTGTCAACATTTTGAGCGTACTGAAGCTGAACCTGTTCTGTTTTGTATTGTATCTCCACCTATCACTTTCAACATCAATTTTATCAGTGCAAGGCCACAATGAAAAGTTTGACATTTTAAGTTAATCTGTAAATTATGACATTTTAAAAGGCAATCTTTTTTTAACAAAACAGTTTATTGAACCTCAGATAATAGAAAATCTGCAAGTATGTTAATCTGTAATTATAGTGTAAAATCTAAAAAGAATAACAGATTACTTATATTAAATAAAACACACAATATTATGATTATAAATTATAGTATCTATAAATAGTATGTCTTAATATGTAAATATGTAAAATAGCTTAAGGGGAAAAGACTGAGTGTAATGCAAAGGTTATTAAGAGATGTACAAACTAACATCCTTGTATTTTGCTAGTTTCTTTATTTGATACATGCAACTTTTCATCAACATATGCCATATATATATATATATATCAAGTAAACTTAGGATGCCTCCATCCATAATATTTATCTTTAAATACTAATGTTGTTATAAAACATTCGATCAGGTAATCTGTAAATCATGATATGAAATCATTCATTCATTTTTTTTTTCCGGCTCAGTCCCTTTATTAATCTGGGGTCGCCACAGCACAATGAACCACCAACTTATCCAGCATATGTTTTACGCAGCAGATGCTCGTCCAGCTGCAACCCATCACTGGGAAAATTCCATAAACACTCATACACTACAGAAAATTTTAGCTTACCCATTTTCACCTGTACCACAAGTCTTTGGACTTGTGGAGGAAACCGGAGCACCCAGAGAAACCCATATATACAGGGGAAAAACAAGCAAACTCAACACAGAAATGCCAACTGACCCAGCCGGGGCTCGAATCAGCGACCTTCTTGCTGTGAGGTGACTCCACTACCCACTCCATCGCCCTACAAACTGAATATTTGTTTTATATTCAGCATCTGTTACAATATGGAAAATCCAAACTAAAAAAAACATTTGGTGAGGAATAGATGTTATATTCTGATAGCTTAGAAAGTTTGTCACAGATTTTTAAGATACTTAATGTAAACCTATATGATAATCACACACTATGTTCTAATATTATGTACTAATTTTTAAATGTTTAATTTTAGGACCAAAACTCTGGGCCCTCAACTCAGAGGGGCGAAATCTATGCCATTACTATTGAATGTATAAATAAACATTCCTATAAAAGCCCATTTGTTTATCTAGAAATAGCAAGATTAATATAATCATTTAATCAACACTGTGCATGAAAAATACTGAAAGGAGAAATATTTTGTAGATTATACTATATTCATTTTACATAAGTTTTTTAACTGATATATTGGGCTTTAATTTCTTTATATGATATTAAAACCAGAGATCTTATAGACTATGAAGTCTAAATATGAAGAGTCGTTCTTCCTTGGTGGCTTGAATTTCCTGCCTGGGAAGAGAATTCAAGGATGCTGCAGCTGAGCCATGAATCACATCACTTCCTCTTTCTCAGCACAGCTTACGTCACACTCAAGCACACCATCACTGGGACTACTAATACAATGATGAATGGCTGGAAGTGTTGCCAATGTATGAGATCATACGTAATACCATACATTACTCAATGAGGATTTTGCTGGGTTGGTGACTACAATGAATACAAATGAATAAAACAGTATTTTTGCATCTATTCAATGTGAAAAACATTTTAACAGTGTTTAAACATGGATCTATATTTGCTTCATGGTAAACTCAAATGAGTTCATGTATTTAGCATTGTGTGGGGTATATATTAAGGGGATAGTAGACACACACCATTTATTTACTATTTACTCTCATGTGGTTCATATATATATATATATATATATATATATATATATATATATATATATATATATATATATATATATATATATATATATATATATTTTTTTTTTTTTTTCAGAAGAATTTTAGTAACTGCTCATTAATGCCACCAATAGAAAAAAACACTATTAAAGTGTCTAACATTCTTCAAACTATATTCTGTTGTGTTTTACTGACAAAAAGTTAAAAGAGTTTAGAGTTTAAAGCAAGAGTAAATGATGACAACAATTTGTGTGAACCATCCCTTTATGCGTTTGTAAAGCCAATAAGTGTATCAAACTATCCTCTGTACTTACAAAAAAAAAACAACACAGAAGATGTACAGTAGGCTTACCAGCACACACACGTCTATTTATCACTTGTCAGGCCTACACTAAGCTAACCAAAATGAGCTGTAATCTTATATTATGTAATCTCACTGAAAACGTTGCCATCGGGTGGTGTGATCCTTAAAATCTTTTTTTTCTTCGCCTTTTAAAAATAAAACGTAATCGAGGACTTTTAATTTGAAAGTGAGCTCAGCGTGCGCCTGCTCTGTTCGTTGTGCTGCTTGTGTGTGTCAGTCTGAGGATGTCTGACAACGCAGAATCTCCTACAGAAAACCCGAAAGATGAACATTCGCTTCAGCACGCTGTCACAGATCACTCTGAGTCATCGGACGAGAAGAAAAAGAGTATGTTTTTAGGATTGTATATAGACGACAAAACAAACGTTCATAGTTTTATTTTAAGTGTTTATTTTGAGCAGACTATCATCGAGCTACTTCCGCGATTTCTCATAGATTGACAGCTCTGTCAACCAATGAGCTTTCTATTTGTATGTAAACGGCCAATGGCTGTCCATGTAGGCGTGTGCTTCTCACGACAAGTGCGTGTGAGTTGTAGTTTTGTTTATTGGAGAAAATGCTAATGCTATACGCTAATTTAATCAAATCCAATGTTGCTCAACATTCTGCTGAATCATTCAACCTTAGATGATAAGATATTAGTAAATTTCATAAAATTTATTGTGTTTGTGTAAACCCATTTGTGAACCAATGGCTTTATCGTACTGTAAAGTAAGTTAACGTTCATGATTTTAATACAGCGTTCATCGTGCAGATGTTGTTTACATATAATAGCACGTTTTACCTGCTTTTAAATATTACTGCTATAATTTGACGTCCCACAGCATTTTACATGAGCTTTAGAATTGCGTTTTTCTATAAAATAATAGTAAAAATGTAAGTTATGTTTAGAAATTTCAAATGGTATATTAAAAAAACAAAAAGCCAGTTAAGTAAAGATTTTTCGTAAAATCCCTGGTCAATTACATTTACATGCCAAATGTTTATTTTAAAGAACAATGTTATACAATCAAATGAAAATTATCTGAATAACATGTTTACCTTATAATAAAAGTTTATTTTATATTTGTTTACAATTTTTTATTATTGAAAAGTCCCTGAATACCAATTAAGAAAGTTTTTCTATTCAATTCAATTTACCTTTTTTTGTATAGTGCTTTTGCAATGTAGATTGTGTCAAAACAGCTTCACATAAATAATCATAGTAAATTGGAACAGTGTAGTTCAGTTTTTAGTGTTTAAGTTTAGTTCAGTGTGGTTTAATAATCACTACTGAGAGTGTAAACACTGAAGAGCAAATCCATCAATGCATAGCTGTACCGATCCCAAACCATGCAAGCCAGTGGCGACAGCTGCGAGGAAAAAAAAAAAAAAACTTCACCACTTGGCGAAAGTGAAGAAAAAAAAACTTGAGAGAACACAAAGCAATATGGAATAAAATAAACAAAACACAGTAAATTATTTCCACTTTTCCACTTTACAAACTTATATTGTATGTAATTTGTAATAGTTTTTATCTGCATAAAACACACAGACCATTTCAATGTGGTGATGTCATTGGCCCATGAACATTACCTGCTTGTTATCAAACTATTTCATTACTGTAACAAGAGACAATTCAATCATAACCTTGTGTTAAAACAGCTGTCATAAGATTATTTATCAAAAGCGAAGTACGTTGCGACCTTTGTTTTTTTTTTACATCCCTCAAAATGGTCTATAGTCCACATCATCTGCTTTACTTGATTTTATTGTCCCCCCTCTCCATTTTTTAGTTGATGTGCTTTTAAAGGCGGTCGGTGACACACCCATCATGAAGACCAAAAAATGGTCTGTGGAGAGAAGGAGGACGATACAGTCACTCGCCCAGTTCATCTCACGCTTCCTCAAGCTGGAGCCCAGCGAACAGTTGGTAAGTTGTTTCATTAAAGAGTAGTGGAAAGACCACAGAAAGTATACTTTGTTTTTAAATTTGTTCTCATGTTTACATCACATTTAATAAAACTGATGGTTGCTTCTATACGCTTTCAACAAAAATATGCAATCTGTATTCTTGTAAGCTTCCCTCAAACTATTAAGTGAGAGAATAATTTCTGCAGAATACACTTAAAGCTAAATAGAGATGTGATTATTATGTTATGTGTTCTGTTGGTTTCTCTTGTTTTTTATGTTTATGTTTAACAGTCAATTATAAACCACACCAAATGCCAAAATGTCTGCCTGGTTTGTGCAAAAACAGGAATATTCTCATTAATCGTAATATCTAATATTAATTAATCCAATTATAGCACTAATATATGTACCAAAGATGATCAGTGGTTTTGTGTTTATTGGTGATTAACACATCACAAAATGCACTTAATTGTTTTTTATATATTCAGTACAAAAATTTAGACTGACAGTTTTTAAAACAAAATTTATTTAGGGTTAATAGGCTTATAAAAAAT